TCGTAACAAGATTGGGTTTATAGGACATTAAAAATGTTTTTAGTATGTTAATATACTGCGTTATAGGACTTATATTATAAGATCAACCAATTGTACGTCTTATATAACAGAGTTGCAATAAGTTTACAGGATGTTTTTAGATGTATTTACAAGTTTTTTAGGACACTTTTAATTGAATATATAAAGTGTCATGTTAACGATTTTATTGATACTTTTGGAAAGTGTCATATAAACATGTCTTGTTATAGGACATTTCCATAAGATACTTTTCAAATAATGACATAAAAAGTTAAGAGGACGTTTTATTTAAAAATGTCACAGAACTTGTTAAAACGACATATAATTTATTGCAACGTTTTTACAGAGGGTGTACAATTATTTGGTTTAATAAACTCAAGTCATATAAAACAATCTACGATACACTTATACATTTTTATAGTCCTATAAACTTGATTTTATTGTAGTGTGTGCCCGTTTGCTGATATTTCCAGTGTAAATATAACAATAGACGACATGTTGAGTCATTTACTCGTTAGTTTCTCATAAGCATGCATGACATAGAAAAGCTAAAACAGACATATGCGTGTACCGAGTTCAACACAAACTAAAAGTATTCCGTGAATCACTAATACTGTTTGTTGGTATATTTATTCTTCTTAAGTTACGAATATCATAATCACAAAGTGTCGTCCAGTTGTTTAGTTTCCTAACCCGTTTTTTTTTTTCAAGATCGTTATGGACCGTTGAGCTAATTGCATAGGCATATAGCTTTTGGAGAATGAATTTATCTGACAATTTTCTATATTGTAACTTAATTAAAGGAGTAAACTTAGGGGCCGTTTATCAAATGCTTACTTGGGTAAGCGCTTATCAAGTCACATTCCCTTACCGGATGAATATGTTAAGGACCAATAATCTTACCTTGTAAGAGTGAAGGCAAGGACCGAGAGTCTTACCCGATAAGTGATGGCGATGACTCTTACCATGGTTAGCACTTACCGGGTAAATTGTTACATACGATGTCGTTTTGGTAGATTAAAATATTACCCGGTAAGTAAACGATATAGTTGAATTTTATCGTTAAGCGCTTACCGGATAAGTGTTTAAGTAAACGGTCCCTTATTCGGTGTCTGTTTACCAAACTAAGTGTATGTTCACCTGGTAAAATAAATGACATCTGGTACTCATTTATTCGGTAAGTGTTTAGTAAATGACCTACAAATCAAAGTAAACAAACTCAGTGTATCTCACTTGAAGGTCTGGTTTAACGGGCTTGAGGGTAATATGTAACCAAACCTTAACTCTACTTCAAAGGACAAAGAAGTTGTTTTCAAGAAGACCACGAGCTTGAGAAAAAAAAAAGTAAAACAAGATTACAATACACACACACATAAGGGTATAATCAAATGAGAATGTCGTATATTGTGATAATCGTGAGAACTTTGGTTATATTGTTTCACGTGATTTTTTTTCCATATAAGACTGTAATTTAAAATATTAATTAACATATATTTATTTCACAATCTGTTTGTTTCATATGTGTTCGGTTCATAGTGTGAAACTTTTTAGATATTTTTATGTTTCACACAAACACGTAAAAAATGTTCATATTATGAAACGAAGACATTGTGAAACGAATATATATTAATCAATACTTCAAATCCAAGCCGTAAATGGAAAAAATAATGTGAAATTGCACATGATGCACTAATTCTCAAGGTTTTCACAAATTTTTGGGCTCTCAAATGATTACCCCCCCCCACACACACATATATATATATATACACACACACACACACTATAAGAGTACTCGTACAATGCAGCGAGATACATCTTCTATTTAATGTTTTTTCTGTCCCTGTTGATATAGTACGATTTATATGGTTTTGATAAATATAATGTTTTTACTTTTGAATAAAAATATATTTGAAGATATCATAACAAATTGAAAAAATATATCGATATTAATATCAAATTAACTATTTAAAAGTTCTCATTTTTTGTACAATTTTTTTAATTCAATTTTTTATTATAATTTATTTTAGGTCTAATAGCAAAATAATTTATTTTTGGCTCAACAAATAATCTTGATAAAAGATAATGATTATGTTAGAACTCAATGATTATCCTAACCATATTTTATAAGTAATATGTATTAATAAACAATATATTATGCATAAAAAGTGGTTTTTAAGAGTTTTTGTCAAATGATTTATAATATAGAATACATTTTTTTATATATAATTTAATTTAAGTTTAATAATAAAAC